GTATTGATCCTCGGTGTGTCTGTGAGGGTGTTGCCAAAAGAGATTAACATTTGAGTCAGTGGGCTGGGAAAGGTAGATCCACCCTTATCTGATGGGCACAATCTAATCAGCTGCCAGCGGATATAAAGCAAGCAGAAAAATGTGAAAAGGAGAGCCTGGCCCAGCCTATATATTTCCCCCATGCTGGATGCTTCCTGTCCTCAAACACTGGACTTCAAGCTCTTCGGTTTTGGGACTTGGACTGGCTCTCCTTGCTCTTCAGCTTATAGACAGCCTATTGTGGGACCTTGTGATCGTGTAAGTTAATACTTTAAATAAACTCCCCTTTATATATATATATCCTATTAGTTCTGTCCCTTTAGAGAACCCTGACTAATACAATAGCTGACAGAGAATTTAAAATAACTGTGATTACTATACTAAAGGCTCTAAGGTAAAGGTGAAAATCATATAAGATTAGACAGGTAATATCAGCAGAAAAATGAAAACTGTGAGTCAAAAAGAAAAGCTAGAGATGGGCTAGGCACAGTGGTTCGTGGCTGTAATCCTAGCACTTTGGGGAGGCTGAGGTGGGAGGATCACTGGGCTCAGGAGTTCGAGACCAGCCTGGGCAACACAGTGAGACCCTTTCTCTTTGAAAAAAAAAAATTTTTTTTAAAGAAAAGCTAGAAATGAAAAATGGTAACAGATGTAAAGAATGCCTTCGGTGGCTCATCAAACAACTCCACAAAGCAATGGAAAGAATGAGTGAACTTAATAACTTGTCAGCAAAAATGTTTTAGTCAATGGAAACTGAAAACAGAAAGAGAAAAATAATAGGGACTAAAAGAACAGAGCAACAAAGAGTTGTCAGACAACCTTGAACAATCTAACATATGTATAATTGAAACCCCTGAAGAAGAGAGCGTGAGAAGAAATACTTGAAGAAATAACAACCAAGGGCCGGGCATGGTGGCTCACGCCTGTAATCCCAGAACTTTGGGAGGCCGAGACCAGCGGATCACCTAAGGTCAGGAGTTTGAGACCAGTCTGACCAACAGGGAGAAACCCCGTCTGTACTAAAAATACAAAATTAGCCATGCTTGGTGTCACATGCCTGTAATCCCAGTTACTTGGGAGGCTGAGGCAGGAGAATGGCTTGAACCCAGGGGGCAGAGGTTGTAGTGAGCCGAGATCACGCCATTGCACTCTAGCCTGGGCAACAAGAGTGAAACTTCATCTTAAAAAAAAAAAAAAAGAAATAACAACCAAGAATTTTCCAAAATTTATGGCATACACAAATCTATAAATCAAAGAAACTCAGAGAAAAAAAAAACAGATCTAGGTATATCATATTCAACCTGCTATAAAGAGAAAAGCTTGAAAGCAACCAGAGGAAAAAATACGTTACATGTTGAGGAACAAAAATAAGAATTACAACACAGTGCTGGCTGGCATGGTTTCTGACAAGAAGATAGTAGAGTGATTTAAAGTTTTATAAGAAAAAAACTGTCAAGGCAGAATTCAATATCCTGCAAATATATCTTTTAAAATTGAAGAAACAAACATTTTCTCAAACAAAAACCAGCACTAAAGAAAATGATAAAAGAAGTTCTTACAGCAGAAAAAATAAGATACCAGACAGAAACATGGATCTGCACAGAGTGCTGAAACAGAATATCTTGAAGGAAAAACACATTTCATTAAAAGTTTTTCAATTTCTATGAAAGATAACTTTAATGCAAAATTAGTAGTATATATCTTTGGACAATATGTAAAATGTATGACAATTTCACAAAAGAGGTAGAAAGATTTGAAAATACACTGTTGAAAGAGCCTTAGATTACACATGAAGTGTAGTATTTATTCATTTATTATTTATAATTTATTTGAAGGTACACTCTATTTATTGTAAAACCCAGAACAACCACTAAAAAAACTCTTGAAAGATGTATAAATAAATAAGTCAAATGTGAAGATAAAAATGGAATCACAATAAATATCTAATAAATCCAAGAGAAGGTAGAAAAAAAATAAAGAAACAAAGGACAGAATAAACAAAATAGCTAGCAAGGTGACAGATATCCATCCAAATAAAATCACAAAACTGAGACCAAACATGATGGTAAAAGAAACTATGAGACTAAATGGTTTTTAGTTTTTAGTTTTTTTTGTTTTTCTTTGAGGTGGAGTCTTGCTCTGTCACCCAGACAGGAGTACAGTGGCGTGATCCTGGCTCACTGCTGCAACCTCCACCTACTGGGTTCAACCGATTCTCCTGCCTCAGCCTCCCGAATAGCTGGGACTACAGGCATGTGCCACCACGCCCGGCTAATTTTTTTGTATTTTTAGTAGAGATGGGGTTTCACCATGTTGGCCAGGCTGGTTTCAAACTCCTGACCTCAGGTGATCCACCTGCCTTGGCCTCCCAAAATGTTGGGATTACATGCTTGAGCTACTGCACCCAGCCAGTTTTTATAGCTTTATTGAGATACAGTTCACATATTATAAAACTGACCTCCCTCAAGTATACATATATTCAGTAGTTTTTAGCCTATTGAGAGTTGAACAATCATTTATCAGACTGTATTTTTAAAAGTAACCATCTATATGCTGTTTATCAGAGATAAAAACACATACAAACAAATTAAGATGGGAAAAAATATAGTACAATTTATCTTAAGAAATCTAAATCTAGGCAGGGCGCGGCAGCTCACACCTGTAATCCCAGCACTTTGGGAGGCGGAGGTGGGCGGATCACAAGGTCAGGAGTTCAAGACTAGCCTGGCCAGCATGGTGAAACCCCATCTCTACTAAAAATACAAAAATTAGCCGGGCACGGTGGTGGCCGCCTGTAATCCCAATTACTCAGGAGGCTGAGGCAGGAGAATAGCCTGAACCCAGGAGGCAGATGTTGCAGTGAGCCGAGATCTGGCCACTACACTCCAGCCTGGGAGACAGAGCAAGACTCCATCTTAAAAACAAAAAACAAAAAACAACAAAAAAAACTAAATCTAAAATATTAAAAACCTGAATGGAGCAATGGGAATGTGTTGTATCTCTGTGTATGTGATCTCCATCACAAATATGTTTTTAGTATTTTGATAACTATACCTCAATAAAAGTGGCTGGGATTTATGCATTAAAAAATATTATTTTAAGAAGGGGTCTACAGGTTCCAGACTGCCAACAGTGTTGATGGCAGAGACAAACACAAAAATGATAAGAACCTTTGTACTTAAGAAACTCTTGAAGATATACACAAGGAAACCTAAGCAAGAATGTTCAGAGTAGCACTGTTCGCAAGAGCAAAAAGGAGAGTGGATCAATAAATTGAGGTATAGTCACTGACAGACTTTTCTAAAAGTCCTTAAAATGACAGAACTGGAGATACATGTATAAACATGGACAAATTTCTTAATCTAAATGGTGGATACATGAGTGTTTGATATAATACTCTTTAGATTACTATACACCACCACCATTACACCATACGATTTTTTTTGTTTTGTTTTTTTTCATTTATCAATGTGAAAATTTCATGGATCATCACCAGTCCAAATACTGGCTGGCATTTAGGAACCAGTGCTTCATACCATCCTGCTTCCAGCAAAATCCATCCAAAATCACACTTATTAGTCAGCGACAGTATTAGGCACAACACAAATTCCTTAGGAAACTTTTCTCCAAACCACCTAGTTGAAATTAATTTTCCCCTCTTAGTCTCCATATAATTCCTGTCTAACTCTCTACTTACCAAATTTCTGAGTTATATTAAATACTGTCTGTGCATACCTGATTTCCCAAGTATAAGTCCTTTAATGGCTGAGGCAGTGCTTTGTGTTTCACAAGTTCTCAAAACCATGTCTGTTGGATTTGATTTATTCACCTCTACCCACTGTGAAATAAATCCTCAACAATGGCTTAAAAGCTGTGTTTTCATCTTTAGTATCTATACTAAAATAAAATCTGATTACAAAAATAAAACTTCCCATTGTAAAACTTAAGATTTCTACTATTCATAATCTCAAGTGTACCTCTTCCTATTTTAATTATACCGAATAAAATAATGCATGGAAAGTATTTTATATAGAATAATACAAGAAAAATATAAGAAAATAACTTTGAACAATGTAAAACAAGATATATTTATTTTGAAGAAATTACATATTCATGTTATCATGTTTGAGATTATGATCATTTTGCACACTGGAATACAGAATGATGTATGAGTTAACTATGCCCCCTACTGACCGAATAAATACTTTAAAAACATTCACAGAGTGTAAGAATATGGTCCAAACAAATGTACCACATGAAAACCAAATGTGCCTTTACCATGCAAATGGGCTTCATAAAAAGACCTTGGCAGATCTTAAATATATTTAAGATAGAATTTATTGGAGAGAAGAAAGACCTGAGAAGAAAGAAGGGCAATTTTAGAATTTACTGCCCAGGGTCACCACATTAAACAACTTTAGGAAGCATCATTCACATTATAGTATACATCAGTGGTTCCCAACTGGGGCAATTTTGCCCCCCAGGGGACATCTGGCAATGTATGTGGAAACATTTTTGGTCGTCACAACCTGGGATAGGAGAGACGTTACTGGCAACTAGTGGGTAGAGGCCAGGGATGCTGCTAAACATCTACAACGCACGGACCACCTCCGTAAAACAAAGTATCTTCTAGCCAAAAATGTTAAAAGTGTTGAGTTTGAAAAATTTTGCTCTACATAGTGTTCCTTCTCAAGTCATGCAGCAGGGCAATGCTATGAGTTTTACCCAATAAAGTCAAATAAAATTTGACTGGCTTGAACTTTGTTGAATGGGTCAAAGAAGGATTAAACCTCTGAAATCCAATATAAAAATTTTTTGCCATCTTCATTTGGGCTAGAAAACTGCAGTCTATACAGTTTCATATCTTCACCTTTTATCTCTATTCTAGATGATACAATCTGTGCACAAACCCTTGATCAGCTAATGATACTTTTTAAAGATACTGGGCTTTCCCATCATACCTGTGTTTCCATTTCCATCATCTTTTGTTTTATTTCTCTTATTTCTGCCTGTGTTTCAGCTTCTCTAAGTCGAATGGTCATCAGTTCATCTTGTAACTCATTCATAGCATTTTTCTTCGGTGGGTCTTTCCATCTCCCAGTAGTACGAGCTAAGTGGCGCTAAAGCATAAAAAATTATATTGCAGCAAGTACTCTCAGTATCAAAATCAGAGCTAATATTACTGAGCACTTATTTCAGGCCTGTGCTATATAAAACACTTTCCACACATTATTTTATTTAATCCCTAGAAAATCCTATTAATCAGGCACTATTATCATCTGAATAAAAGGGTTTCATAAAAAGACCTTTGCAGATCTTAAGCATATTTAAGATAGAATTTATTGGCCAGGCACGGTGGCTCACACCTGTAATCCCAGCACTTTGGGAGGCCGAGGCAGGCAGATCACCTGAGGTCAGGGGTTCGAGACCAGCCTGGCCAACATGATGAAACCTCGTCTGTACTTTAAAAAAAAAAAAAAAGATAGAATTTATTGGAGAAAAGAGACCCGAGAAGAAAGAAGGGCACTTTTAGAATTCACTGCCCAGGATCACCACATTAAACAATTTTAGAAAGCATCATTCACATTATTGCCATTATTGGTTCCCAACTGGGGCAATTTTGTCCCTCCAGGGAACATTTGGCAATGTATGTGGTAACATTTTTGGTTTTTCACAGGTAAGAAAATAACACTGTGATTAAATAACTTCAGGAGTATCACACAGCCAGTGCAGATCTGGGACACAAACTCAAATATAGTTCAAATTTTTTTCTCTATATATTGCAGATGAATTCTTGAAAAGAATACAATTTTCACTGTAATTTTTTTAATGAGAGATTTTTCATATTATCTTCAATGAAATCCCAATAAATTAGAAAAAAAAAATGGGGCCATCCTTAAGAAAGGAATGTTAGAAGTTAAGGGCAGTGTTTCTCAAAATATCTGTGACAAAGTACAAATTTTGTCTTTTTTGTTTTAAAATTTCAAGTTTATTGCAATCTGATACTTTGTAAAAACACGTTTTAAAAAAACGGCATGACAATGTCAAGGCCTAATTTTGGTCCTTATATAGAATATGTATTTTGTTCCTTGTCAACATTTCCCTCATACATGAATAAATTTGTGGTCATATACCAGATAAATGTCATTTATTTGGTGAGGTAACTAAGTTACTAATTTATACACTAAATTTATAATGTTGTCACTCTTCTGGTGTTTCACACTAACCAACAATGGACTTAATATCAACGTAAGATAAAATATGTACAATATAGAATACTTTTACAGTTTTTCAGAAAAAGTTATACAAGGCACAACGGTACAATTACAAAAATATGATCCGATATCTACTGTATCTTTTATTTTATTATAAGAATTAAAGAGAGAGAAACAGCCTAAGAGCACTTTCAGTTTATAAATACTCTCAATTTTGACATTAAACAGGGTCTCTCTCACTTTAAACTCATCTCCTACTGTAGGTCATCAGGTACTTCAAACTCTTACATATTGGAAATTTGGGTTTTATTCTCTTTTTAAAAAGCACAAAAAATATATTAAAATACCTGCCAGTGTTCCTCTAAATCCTTGACTTGCTGTCTAAGTTCTTTCAAACCCATAATGGCTTCTGCTTCTCTCAGTTTCACAGCAATGAGTTCTTCCTGAAGCCTTGCGATATTATTCTCATCAGGAAGGGAGTTATTCCTCTAAAGAAGAAGAAAATTTAATTTGGGACTTTTAAAATTAAGGAATAAAATACAGCACACATAACAGCTATTTTGTTACACACTTAAATGTAGTTAATTTTATGCAGCTGTACTGAAATATAATTCACAAACTATGAAACTCACCCTTTTAAAATACACAAGAGCTAGTGGTTTTCAGAGTATTTACAGGGTTGTTAAACATCACCATGTTCTAATTTCAGAATATTTTGATCATGCAAAAAAGAAAACCTATACTCATCACCAGTCATTCTACATTCCCCATTTCCCCAGCCCCTGGCAACCACCAATCTACTTTTTGTTTCCATGAATTTGCCTACCTGGACATTTCTTGTAAGTGAAATCATATGTATTTATAGCTTTTTGTGACAACCTTACTTCACTTAGAACAACGTTTTCAAGGTTCAATCTTTTTTTTATGCCAAATGATATTCCACTGTATAGATATACCACATTTAATCTATTTATTCATCAGTTAATACAAATTTGGGTTGTTTCTACTTTTTGACTATTATAATGTTGCTATGAACATTGGTGCAAAAGTTTGTGTGTAGACTTAGGTTTTCAATGTTCTTAAGATACACTTAGGAGTAGAACTGTTGGCTCAGATGGTAATTTTTCTATGTTTAACTTTAGGAAACTGCCAAACTTTTCCAAAGCAGCTGTACAGATTTTCATTTCCACTAGCAATGTATGAGGGGAACTGTACTTAATTTTGAGAACACAGAAATCTAACTCTGATTTGTTAATAAAATACTAATCAAAGTTACGGAGCAACAGGATTAAAAATTTTTTCAGTATGGCAATAAACTTACTAACCTCTGATCAGGACTCCAGATAAAGCATGAACATCATTTACTTTTTAAATATGTATAGAAAACAGTAGTCCAAAATCTGTTTTTGTTGTATTTCCTCAGTATGTTATTTCTGAGAGGCACCAACTCTCTGTGTATTAGTCACTATTTACATCAACAGTCAAGAAATTAATACAAATTAAACAATTTAACAATTGATTCAAATGAAATTACTGAAATTAAACAACTTGATTCATGGATACAAGACTTATTTATTTATTTATATTTTTCCATAAGTTATCAGGGTTCAGGCAGTATCTGGTTACATAAGTTTTTTAGTAGTGACTTGTGAGATTTTGGTCCACCCATCACCCAAGCAGTATACACTGCACCTTATTTGTAGTCTTTTATCCCTCACTCCCCTCCCACTCTTCCCCTCAAGTCCCCAAAGTCCACTGAATTATTCTTATGCCTTTGAGTCCTCATAGCTTAGCTCCCACATATCAGTGAGAACATACGATGTTTGGTTTTCCATTCTTGAGTTACTTCACTTAGAATAATAGTCTCCAATTTCATCCAGGACAGTGCAAATGCTGTTAATTCATTCCTTTTTATGGCTGAGTAGTATTCCATCTCATATATGTGTATATATATATCAATCACAGTTTCTTTATCCACTTGTTGACCAATGGGCATTTGCATTGGTTCCACGATTTTGCAATTGTGATCTGTGCTGCTATAAACATGTGTGTGCAAGTATCTTTTTCAAATAATGACCTTTTTTCCCTCTGGGTAGATAGATACCCAGTAGTGGGATTGCTGGGTCAAATGGTACTTCTACTTTTAGTTCTTTAAGGAATCTCCACACTGTTTTCCATAGTGGCTGTACTAGTTTACATTCCCACTAGCAGTGCAGAAGCGTTCCCTGTTCATTGCACCCATGCCAACATCTACTGTTTTTTTTTTTGTTTTTTTTTTTTTGATTATGGCTAATCTTGTGGAAGTAAGGTGGTATTACATTGTGGTTTTGATTTGCATTTCCCTGATCATTAGTGACGTTTAGTACTTTTTCTTTTCTTTTTCTTTTTTTTGAGACGGAGTCTTCCTCTGTAGCCCAGGCTCGAGTGCAGTGGCACGATCTTGGCTCACTGCAACTTCTGCCTCCCAGGTTCAAGCAATTCTCTGCCTCAGCCTTCCGAGTAGCTGGGATTACAGGCGCCTGCCACCACAACTGGTGAATTGTTTGTATTTTTAGTAGACACAAGGTTTCATTATCTTGCCCAAGTCTTTATCATTATCAAGGCTGGTCTTGAACTCCTGACCTTGTGATCCACTCACTTTGGCCTCCCAAAGGGCTGGGATTACAGGCGTGAGCCACCGCACCCAGCCGATGTTTAGTATATTTTCGTATGTTTGTTGGCCATTTGTATATCTTCTTTTGAGAATTGTCTATTCATGTCCTTAGCCCACTTTTTGATGAGAGTATTTTCTTCTTACTGATTTGAGTTCGTTGTAGATTCTGGATCTTAGTCCTTTGTCAGACATATAGATTGTGAAGATTTTCTGCCACTCTGTGGGTAGTCTGTTCACTCTGCTGACTGTTCCTTTTTCCGTGCAAAAGCTCTTTAGTTTAATTAGGTCCCAGCTATTTATCTTTGTTTTAATTGCATTTGCTTTTGGGTTCTTGGTCATGAAATCCTTGCCTAAGCAAATGTCTAGAAGGGTTTTTCCAATGTTATCTTCTAGAACTTTTATAGTTTCTGGTTTTAGGTTTAAGTCCTTAATCCATCTTTTAAGTTGATTTTTGTATAATGTGAAAGAAGAGGATCCAGTTTCATGCTCCTACATGTGGCTAGCCAATTATCCCAGCACACGGATACAAGATTTAGATCAATTTCCCACCATATTAAAAGATAAAAAGGACACAGGGTAGCCCAGTATCAAACTTCTCCGGAGAGTTACCAAGAGATCCAAAATTAGGTCCTAGGGAAAGCTCCCTAGGTAAACAGGTAAACTGAGGTAACATTGAGATTTCAAGGCCTGATTCTAGGAAATTTTCTATCTCTAAATATTTCATGGTACACATGCAAATTTCTGCTCACAGGGATGATGAAATGAAGTTATTCTCACCAATTACACATTCTTATGATGGACTTTAAATATTTTCTCAGCTGAAAACCAAAAATTTACTGCATATGCATTTAAAAGATTGCTGGAAGCAGAAAAAAAGAGAATGCTGCATGAAGAAATTACCATAGGAAGCATGCTACCTTTCAAATTCCTTTCTACTTTATAATGTGAAAAATGAAAAACACCACAGCCACTTACGAAATCCAGTTTTGAATGGAATCCAAATACACTTCTATCAAATATTCAAAATCTTTCTAACTGCAAGACACAGATTCTTCTCTAAATCATGTAACCCAGAATATACCTAAGTTAGAGACCAAATATTCTGTTAGCCATTTCTTTCAGCACTCTTGCTGGCTTTTTTTTCTCAACAAATAGAAAGAATACATTTTCCAGAAATATAAAAATAGCAAGGAGCTTTCCAGCAAAATTATTCCATTACTGTTTCTCGTTACACTTGTCCTATTTCATTAAGAAAATAGTTAAAAATACCTGAGACTGTTATGTCCATTATCTATCAGGTTTTTGGATTCAGTAGCTAGCTATTACCTAAGAGTAAAAAGGAACTAATGACACAGAGCACAGGCCACCAATAAATTTACAGATGAGAAAACAAGAGATTCAGAGTTTGTAATCTAGAACTTTTAAATCTGAAAGTTATAAGAAACCTGAAGTTCTTCTATTCCCATTACTTTATCTGATCTTTGATGTTCTTCAATATCCTTGAAAAGAAGTAAGTTAGCTTCTGTGAGTACACTCAGGCTAAAAGGAACTTCCTACATATCCTGAGGTAACTTGTTCTAGATTGGACAGTTCTAACAACTACACTCAGATCAAATTTTCCCTGAAATGTCTATGTATTAGTCCTATTCTATCTCTTCCACATGAAAATATTGCAATATTTGATGACAGCAGTTAATTTCTTTCACCCGAGTTTCTCTTCTGCAACATTTAGATACTCTTTTTATGAAAATTATTCTGGTCGTTTTCCTCCAAAAGGGCTCTAATCTCCATTTTTATCCTTAAATATGGGGCTTTGATTAGTATGAAGGCAACAAGGAATAACTGGCAATTTTAAAAATCTTTTTTTCCTTTTCCTCTTAGTAACTAACATGTAAGGCTTCTAATGTATAAAAACACCAAGTCAATTAAATTGCTCAGTAAGTACTTAACAAATATTACATATCCCCTCTAATTTGGAAGTGACTGCATTTGTGTAGGTTTCTTACCTTCTCTATATCCAAGACTTTATCCTGCATCTCTTTTAGTGCACACTGAGACTCAGCTTCACTCAGTCGGGCTTGGACCAATTCCTTTTCTAGCTGTAGTACAAAATCTTCGTTGTAGTTGGAACTGCATTTATGCTAAAGGTTACAGACATACATTGAAATTTCATGGAAGTATAAACATGTATATACAGTAAAAACAATGCAACTACCTAATACAGTTATATTAAGGGCAACTAAATAGGAGAAGTTCCATCTACCCAATATTACCAATGTATCTCCTCCAATTAACTTTTCCAATGAGTAAAAAAGCCCAACTTTGATATCTATAAAGACGACCACATTATTGGGCTTTGGTAACTAGTTATTGCACTGATCAAATCTGATTCATACAAGATAAACATCTCCTTTTATCTGTCCATCCATCCAGACACAAAGAATTCGTTCTGACTTTACAGACCTACACCACACAATAAATAGGATAGCAATTAGCCACATGTGGCTACTGAACATTTGAAATGTGGCTAATCAAGATTAAAACAAGTTTTAAGTATAAAATACAAACTGGATTTTGAAGACTTAATATGAAATAAAAAAATCTCAATGATTTTTATATCAATTACATGTTAAAATAATATTTTGAATATACTGAGGTAAATAAAAATATTAATTTTACCTTTTTTAAACTCCTTTTAATGTGGCTATTAGAAAATTTTAAATTACATCTGTGACACATTATATATTGCTATTTGATAGTACTATTATGTACTACAGAAGACATGTAAACATTACTCAAAAATATATTTTAATCTAATGGAAAAAAAACAGGGTACCCACAATAATGTGAACCATCTAAATTCCAAAATAACAAAATTGTATTTGTGCTTAGAAATCTTCTTCAGAAGATATGCATGGTTTCCCAGCACTTTGGGAGGCCGAGGTGGGTGGATCACTTGAGGCCAGAACTTCAAGATCAGCCTAGCCAACAGGGTGAAACCCTGACTCTACTAAAACTACAAAAATTAGCTGGGCATGGTGGCACACATCTGTAATCCCTGCTACTAGGGAGGGTGAGGCAGGAGAATGGCTTGAGCCCAGGAGGTGGAGGTTGCAGTGAGCCGAGATCATGCCACTGTACTCCAGCCCAGGCAACAGAGCAAGACTCTTGTCTCAAGAAGAAAAGAAAAAAAAAAAAAAAGATATACATAGAAATAACTGCTGGAAGCAGAGAAGACACAGATGCTGCACGAAGAAATTAACCCCGGAAGCACGCCATGTTCCCATTTGCTTTCCTACTCTATAAAACATGAATATTGATGCAAACACTTAAGTCACCATTTTTAAGCCAGTGCCCATACAAAAGCTTCTGTACAGAAGCAACATGCAATTCATCATTATAAAATACTTGCTAAAATAAATTGTCTATTACTTCACATTTAATTCATGTAGTAAAGAAAATGTGGCAACTCAAAATTACAAAATAAAGTCATAAAAAACAATCTTCTACTGAACTAGCATGAATAAAGCCCAGTTATTTTTACTCTTTAATATGTTAGGAACAAAATAGATGTCAAATTATAACTATTAAAAATAACCAGATGCTTAATACATGGTACTCTCCTGCCCCAGTTACCCAAAAAGATGTGCAAATGAGGACTTTAATTCAATGCATTATACATTATTTCTTCTAGCAATTTTGATACTATTGAAACAATAGAGAATCTGCAACAGATACATCATCTTAGCAAATACTTACCTTCTATCAATTAGGAAAAAGGCATTCTTTTGGAATGACCACATCCCAACTAGAAGTGCCATAATTTATTTAATCAGATCATAGTTATTTCATGGGTACTGGTAGAATTTTTTTGCCCTCAACTTAAAGCCCTGGCAACTGTAGTACAGGTTTGTTTGCCAAGACTTTATATTAGGAGATCCCCAAGAAAACATCAAACTCAAAGGCTCATATGAGAACAGAACTCTTGATTGGAATATACCAACTAATCCAATCAAGTACAAAAGGCTATAGTAATGTTGGGAACAAATCTTTATTAATAAAATTTACAGAGAGCTGAAATGCTCTGATAACAAGTCATTCTGGATAATATGTATCTTATGCTTTTTATACACTGAAACATATTATTTTAGTCTTCTGGATTAAAATAATTCTAAATGTATTAGGTAATAGTTTTGCCACTGACACAGTTTACAGAATATAATTCTCTTAATTTTCAGGTCTTCATGATGATAGTCAACTAACACATTGCAAATTACACAGCATCTAAGGAAAAGATGCTGCTGTGAACTATAAATTGCCTGAAGCTAACCACTGTAGTTTCAATTTATTCTATTTTCCACAGGGGGAAAAACAGTTTTATAAACACGTTTTAATGTTTGACAGAAATGACAATTATGACAGTATAACATCTACTCACCACTTACTATGTGCCAGATACAAGTTAAGCACTTTATATTCTCCTTTAACCCTCACCACAATTACTACCTTACTAATAAGGAAACTAATAGGGTGCACCAAGGTCAAACAGCAGTTGATAGTGCTATTAATTGAGAGTTTGTATTACAGAGCCCATGTTCCTCACCTTTAAGCCATATAGGTGTTGAAGAGTTTAATATATTGTTTTAATGTATACTGTTCTAAAAATCAATGATATAATATTTTAAAAATCCAAACTTCTAAGAAAATCTAAGCATATAGATCTCACATGTTCTTGTATTAAGAAATTCCTAGAAGAGTGCATTTCATATTCAAGTGAGTAACTTGGACAAATACGCAATTTGTTTTACCAAATGACAACTGCCACAATTATGATGGCAGGCAGTGTCAGCAAGGGGGGCTTTTACTTAAAAGCGTACAAATGACAGATGACTTCCCTATACTTATATCAAGTTAATTTATGTAAATGAATCTCATAATGTTTCTGTGATACCAGCAATCCCAGTCCAATGAAACTGACAGAAATTCTTTTTAGTAAGCAGAGTCTGCTTTTCAATCCTATGTGCTTTTCTGGTGTTGCAAAAATTATAAAGGTAAAGGTAAGTTAGAAAGTTCTCAGTAATCTTTTTGCTTGTTTCTTGAGCTTAAAAAAAATCTTCAATATTTTAAGGATATAGGAGTAATACAGTAAAAAGTAAATATTTGTATTGGGGGAAGTTTCTCATATTATTAAGTGGAAAAAACTGAAATTAGAAAAAGGGTTGTCCACACAAATATATCAAGTATTTCTTGAATTTAAGTATACATTAAGCTTTTAACTAACTTCAAGATATGACATTTATATGTTCTTTTCAGGAACCCAAACATTTCATGGAACCCTGTTCTTGTCTCTTTTGTAACACTTATCACAACTCTAAAAAAAAAATTGTGTAAGCTGCCCAAAGTAATTCATAGATTCAATGCTATTTCCATCAAACTACCACTGACATTCTTCACAGAATTAAGACAAAAACTACTTTAAATTTCATATGGAACCAAAGAAGAGCCTGTATAACCAAGCAAAAAGAACAAGGCTGGAGGCCTCATGCTACCTGACTTTAAACTATAATACATGGCTACGGTAACCAAAACAGCATGGTACGGGTACCAAAACAGACATACAGACCAATGGAACAAAACAGAGACCTCAGAAATAACACCACGCTTCTACAATCATCTGATCTTCGACAAACCTGAAAAAAGCAATGGGGAAAGGAACTCCTATTCAATAAATGGTGCTCAGAAAACTGGCAGCAAACTGAAACTGGATCCCTTCCTCACACCTTATATAAAAATTTACTCAAGATGGATAGGCCGGGTGCGGTGGCTCAAGCCTGTAATCCCAGCACTTTGGGAGGCCGAGATGGGTGGATCATGAGGTCAGGAGATCGAGACTATCCTGGCTAACACGGTGAAACCCCGTCTCTACTAAAAAATACAAAAAAAAACTAGCCGGGCGAGGTGGCGGGCGCCTGTAGTCCCAGCTACTTGGGAGGCTGAGGCAGGAGAATGGCGTGAACCCGGGAGGCGGAGCTTGCAGTGAGCTGAGATCCGGCCACTGCACTCCAGCCTGGGCGACAGAGCGAGACTCCGTCTCAAAAAAAAAAAAAAAAAAAAAAAAAAGATGGATTAAAGACTTAAATGTAAAACCCCAAACCATAAAAACCCTAGAATAAAACCTAGGCAAGGTATTACTCAGGACATAGGCATGGAGAAAGACTTCATGATGAAAACACCAAAAGCAATTGCAACAAAAGCCAAAATTGACAAATGAGATCTAATTAAAGAGTTTCTGCACAGCAAAAGAAACTACCATCAGAGTGAACAGGCAACCTACAGAATGGGAGAAAATTTTTTGCAATCTACCCATCTGACAAAGGTCTAATATTCAGAATTATTGGGGGAAACCAGCCCCCGATAATTCAATGTTATTTCATATAGGTTCTTTTCTATTTCCCTAAGTGTCAGCCGGTCTCAGAAATACAGGGAAAGAGTACAAAAGAGAGAAATTTTAAAGCCGGGTGTCCGGGGAAGACATCACATGTCGGCAGGTTCCATGATGCCCCCCAAGCAACAAAACCAGCAAATTTTTATTAGTGATTTTTAAAAGGGGAGGGAGCATACGAATAGGTTGTGGTTCACAGAGATCACATGCTTCACAAGGTAATAAAATATCACAAGGCAAATGGAGGCAGGGTGAGATCACAGGACCAGCGCAAAATTAAAAATGCTAATGAAGTTTCGGGCACACACTGTCATTGATAACATCTTATCAGGAGACAGGGTTCGAGAGCAGACAACTGGTCTGACCAAAATTTATTAGGTGGGAATTTCCTCATCCTAATAAGTCTAGGAGTGCTACGGGAGATGGGCACTTATTTCATCCCTTATCTACCACCGTAAAAGACAGACGTCCCCAAAGCAGCCATTTTTGAGACCTCCCCTTGGGAACTCATTCTCTTTCTCAGTGATGTTCCTTCCTGAGAAAAAGAATTCAGTGATATTTCTCCTATTTGCTGTTGAAAGAAGAGAACTATGCCTCTGTTCCACCTGGCTCTCAGGCAGACAGACCTAATGGTTATCTCCCTAGTTCCCTGAACATTACTGTTATCCTATTCTTTTTTCAAGGTGCACAGATTTCATA